CCCTACCCCCGCCGGCTGCCACTTGGCCACCGCCCCTGGGCATCCCCGCGGGGAGCGCTGAGGATTATTTGACCCATGTGTCCTCCTAGGCTGCCGCCATTTGGCCGCAACCCCCTGAGCACCAGAGCGGGGCGCCCAGGACTATTTGACCTGCCCACCCCCACCCCCGCTTAGCTACCACTTCCTGGCTGCTCATCCGTACTTGAGTGGCGGAGGACTGTTCTACCCGCATGGCTGCTGCTACTTGGCTGCCCCCCGGCACCCGATTGGGGCACACCGAGGACTGTTTGAGCCTCAGCTGCTGCCACTTGGCAGCCACTCCAGGGCACCTTAGCAAGGCCGTCCTTAGCCCAGGACGGTTTTACCTGTGTGTTCCCTGCATAGCCGCGACTGCTTGGCCGCCAACCCTGGTCACTCGAGCAGGCACGCGCCCCCCTAGGCTGCCGCCGCTTGGCCACAGCCCTCTGGGCACCTGAGCGGGGCACCCCAAGACTGTTTGACCCACGTTTCCCCCATGCAGCTGCCACTTAACGGCTGCCCCGGGCACCCAAGTGGCGGAAGACTGTCCGATTCGCAGGGCCCCTGCTGCTTAGCTGCCACTGCCAGCACCCAAGCGAGGTACGCACAGGACCGTTTGACCCACACGTCCTCTGCATTGCCACTATTGCTCAGCCGCCAACCCCGGTTACCTGAGTCAGGCACGCAGAGGACTGTTTGAACTGTGTGTCCCCCTAGGCTGCTGTCCCTTGGCCACGGCCCCCTGAGCACACGAGCAGGGCACCCCAGGACTGTTTGACCCATGCAACCCCAACACAGCTACAGCTTTGTGGCTGCCCCCAGACACCTGAGGGGGGCACCCCTAAGACTGTTTGACCCACTCGGTCACTGCCCCTGGGCACCTGCGCACAGAAGCGCCCCGGACTGTTTGACCTGCGTGGCTGCCGCTCATTGACAGCCACCCCAGGGAACCTGAGAGGGGTGCTCCCAGCACTGTTCTACTGGGCGTTGCCCGCGCTACCACCGCCGGGCCACTGTTCCCCATGCACCCGAGTGGGACGTCCTGAGGACTGTTTGACCCTCACATCCCCCTGCAGCAGCTGCTGCTCCCCCTAGGCTGCCACCGCTGGGCCGCAGCCCCCTGGGCACCCGAGCTGGGTGCTCCGAGGACTATTCAACCTATGTGTCCCTTGCAGCTACCGCTGCTTGGCCGCTGCCTCCCGGACAC